AAATTTAGATGGCAATATTGTAAATCTTTCTTTACACTGACAATTGACAACATAATAAATGTGACCTGTGCCATACGAGGCGGAAATAACTGACTTCTGCATCTTTCCGGACCACTCTACTGTTGTCAAGTACATCATTAGTCGTCAAGATCAGCAATAGCTGAATGGGTCGCCGAAAGGTTTTAGGTTTAAGATCATAATGTCTGTCATTAAGCCAAGTGACGTGGTTTAGATTTCCTACTTGTACGTGACAGGGGGTAGGGTCGTCTGTTCAATCTTTTTGTGTTTTCTGCTAAAGAAGCCTAGTTTGAGTCTTACCCCCGCCCCCCCCCCTCTCTCTCTCTCAATGAGAGTACACTTGACAAAGTTGATTTAAATATATTGATATAGCCCACCTGTAATCATTCCAGAAAGTAGACCTACAGTTGTAACAAATGGTTAGTAATGTGGTGCCGATTGTCCGTATCGATATTAATAAGACGAGCTCGACAATGATTGTGGTTGGCGTATGTTTCGTTGATAGGTAACCAATATATTTGCATGTAATCCATGCGCATTGTGCTTGTCTATTTATACCTTTATACCTTTTATACCTTTTCTTCAGTCTACCATTAAGCATCTATGGCTTGTTGGCCACCTTTATTACTTCTAGCATTGATAGGTTTGCGCACGTTGACAGTATCATTTCGTAGAGTGCATGCGATTATATATTCACAATCGTATTATAATCTGAAAATTACTGTTTACTAGGTACATTATTGCACATATTTTAAATATGTAATTGACAATATGAACTGGGATGTAGCAAAGGGATAAAGTTAACGGCGTGTGAAGGGAGATTTTTGGCTTAAAGTGTCTTCTTACACTATTTTTATATTCAAACACCCTTTATCCTTAATACACATATATTCTGATTTACTTCCTTCTTCGCCATTATATTATATACTACACACAACTTTCTCTATATTAGTAAAGTTTTATTACTGTATGCATGCGTTTAAGTTCATGACACAATTATTATGCATAGTACACTGATAATTAAAACGTAGGTAAGTCATAAAGTTATATTATTGTAATTTCGTACAGTGTCAGGGTATATATATATATGTTAAAACTTTAGTAATGAAATTTAAAACGTAGGTAGTCGTAAAGTTATATTACAGTATTTCGTACAGTGTCAGATATCACGTAGTCCAACCGAAATAGAAGAATAGCAGGATGAGGGGTCTGAGGTCAAGGCTAATTTGTCTATTGTCTAAAACACTTATGATGGAAAGTTACCAATTACATCATTAGGCATAAATTTGATGTAGATATGCTCTGCTCACCTGCACCACACCCATTTACGCTTTAAACTGAAGAATTATTACGAAAAGTACCTCGTTTCTTCATTGGAATTTGTCGTCAATTGTTCTAAACATTTCGAATCTAATAAAATAGTTTTCAGGGGTTCGTCGGCCGAGGTACGTTTCTTTTTAATTGATGCCATTGCTTAAAATCACCCAAATATATCGATAAAACATTTTTCTCAAGCTAACAACGAACTTCCGACATTTATAGATAATTCACATGTGGTAAAAATGACATCATATGCACTAAACTATGTACATCCAATTTGTTGCCTGCCGTAGCGACTCGTCTAGTCGACAGAACTAGCGAAAGATTTAGGAATCTATATAGCTTAAATTTAATAATCTTGAAATACCAAGATGCATTATGTAAGATTTAGATAAAGGGCGGAGGGTTAAAACAAATAGATGCTGAAAAAATAATGTTTGAAACTTTAATTATATAGTCTCGACTGGCAAGTACCAATGCTACGATAATAACCAAAGTCTCGATTGTCCATTTTTAAATTAAATTATTACATGGGAATCTGTTTTAACCCATTAAAATAACAGCCACCCGATCTTCTGGAGAGTTGAATTAAGGCAAAATAAAGACCTGCAATAGGAAGAAATAGCTCTTATATAATGCATCTTTAATCAAGTTGTTAGTTACATCCTAGACTTTTACTTGTGTGACCAATCCGGCTCCACATCATTGTGCCCATACCTTTTTATCTTTTTGAATGATATGTATTTTTTGTAGATTTTGAAACAGTAACCTGATATGGCAGTTCTAGTAATGTACACTGTATTGACTATATTATCTGTAATAATTGGTATATTAGGTATGTTGTCGACGAAGTATTCATATAGAGTATCATACATTAATCACCGACTGTTATTCGTATATAAGATGTAATGAAAAAGAGCACACTTTTATTCAGGATAATAGTGAATTTTGTTTGATAGATAACATGAACACACTACGATAATACGTGAAAATGATGCTCCTTCTTCCCTTCGTCTCGTTACGAGTAATAGCGCGAAGTCAAGAAGGCAAGAAATAATCGGTGCGAAGCGAAGAAATCCAGTCATTTCTTTCCTTATTGACTTCGCGCTGGTACTCGTAGCGAAGCGAAGGGGTGGCATTTCATCGCTTCTTGCCTTCGCTTCGCGACGAGTCTATAACTGGAAAGCGAAGCCAAGAAGGGAAGAATTCGTTTCACTTCGCTATCCGGTTTACCTTATCAACTGACGTTGATGTATTGTTCGCATCTTCTCTTCGTTACTTCTTGGTCTAACGAGAAACAAACAAGAACAAAATGTATTTATCAAATATATCTAATATTAATATTTTACATATGAAGGATACATTTAGGTGGAGATTACTGAAATACATGTATTAAAGTAATGGTCAGAATATTAATATTTTACCTATCAAGGATACTTATATATTGGTGTTTCGTGTTTAGTTACTGCAATTCATGTATCAAAGTAGGAGTAGGGTCGCCTGTCCAACCGTTAACCTTGTGGGTTTTCTTCGGGTCCTCCGGTTTCCCCCCACTACTAAAGACCCCTACGCACCAACGGATTGTTGAAATAAAATTCAAACATGTGTTAGTCCCGAAATGACCTAGTTTGTGTCAAGTAGACGTTAAACCCCATCTACATGTACCTCTAAAGCATTGGTCGGGATGGATGTGTTTTTGTTTCCAATTTATGTTTAATTTCAGCACTAGACTCATGTAGTGATACCGGCAACAACTGTCAATACTGTGGTGCTACGAACTATCCTATAGAAGTCGCGTACAGACAGAGTTGTATGAAAACATGTGGCGTTTGTTCAGGTAAACGTGTTAATATTGTACTTAACAAGCTCATTTAATAATATGTTGGGTTTTCTTACTTTTATTTTGTATGAAATTTTTTGATTAATTCACATAATATTTTTACCAGTATGATTTGCTAAACTATTGGTTCCAGCCATGGCATAATTACGGTCTTCGTGTCCTATGAATGTAATATTACATTCCAATATATTTACAGATAAATCATTTATTAATTTCTAATCAACAGATATTAATGTTGCGCTTGATAAACCAACCAAGCAGAGTTCTACACTGTATTATGGTATAGTTAATTCTAATTCTTCTAATGCTGTTGATGGTAATACAGATAGTGAATGGCTTCATGGACACTGCGCTCATACAACCAGTAATACATCTCACTGGTGGTGTGTTGATCTGAAACAAATCTATAACATTGACTATCTCAAAGTATTTAATAGGAATCAATGTAAGTGTATTTAAATTTAACATAACCATTCTGATAAATGTGGGCATATATTGTACATTGCATGGCATATTGTCAATAAATATAACATTGACAATATCAAAGTTTTTAATAGGAATCAATGTAAGTGTATTTAAATTTAACATAACCATTCTGATAAATGTGGGCATATATTGTACATTGCCAGATATATGACCAATAATTATGATATCATCGTGTATGCTATCATTAAAGATTTGTTTAGTGTTAGGTTTTTATATGACTTGTTTCAGTTATAGGACAAAATTGAGAGAGAGAGAGAGAGGGAGAGAAATGGGTTTTAACGTCCACTCGACACAAACTCGTTCATTTGGAGACTAACTTATGTTGTTTATTTTTTTTTTTTGGGGGGGGGGGGTCTTTTGTTAATTTTATTTCAATAATTCGCTTGCGCGTAGGGATCTTTAGCAGTGGGAAGAAACCGGAGGACCTTGAGAAAACCCACGAGGTTGGACAGGCCAACCTACTCCTTGTCACGTACAACCGGGGATTCGAAACCACGCTAGTTGACTCAATGACAGGCCTTGTGATACAGCAAGCACGTGCTAACCATTCGACCATCCAACCCTCCCGGACAATGTTGATGATAGCCAATGTTACATATGAAGTGAAATGAAATGGGGTTTAACGTCCCACTGTTCTGTGTTATGAGGGCAATTTTGCCCGGACAGCGGCGCTACGGCCTACACTTATCTCGAATTCCAACTGTCAAGAGATCTTTTACGTGCACGTCAATGTGTACACGGGACCTCTGTGTTTCGCCCCATCCGAACGACTAGACAGCTGTTCTTGTCAGGCCCTCCGTCCTGCATCACTGACAAGGGGGAAGCACGCCGGAAAATCTGGATGAACTTTTTTCGCCAATACAGGGATCGAACGCCCTGTTACATATGTAATAGACCTGATTAAGCACACTCCATATATAATTTTAACACAGAGATCTTTAGTTGATCCGTAGCAACGATTTGAAGAATTAGAAAGTGACGCAAATAAAGAAAAACTCAAGTTATCCTTACTACAGAAGTAGAGAGTGATAACAGATACACATTCGAGTTTCAGCTCAGTGACAATTCCGTTGAAGTTGAATAGTTATTTAATTTGACAATAATAACAAAAATTTGCTTATGAGCTGTGCCTCTATTACATTGACTCCACTGATATATCAATAGATATAAGTGCATATAGAAATTCACGGTGCTTTTATATCAAACCAAAGTGGGATATTATAACTTTCAGATAAAGATAGGTTAGCAGGGTTTGAGATAAAGACTAGTTCTGATGATCAATGTGGTGGATCGGGATTTAGTTCAGCTACTTCATGTTTTAAAGATACATCAACAACAACCCAGGATGTATACACAATAAACGCATGTAATCTGGGTTCATCTGCATCCATATCTGCTAGAACTGTTTATGTTGGCGTGACTACCCAATATCTTGCCCTCTGTGAGGTTCAGATATTTGCTGGTAAGACTTTATTTTATACCACAGTATTAATGTAATGAAAAGATGTCATTAACACTTCTACAAACCATCTATCTGTATGGGTCTAAATTTTATGTGTTTGTTTCTTACAATGTTAAACTGTACCTAATTTTCCGTTAAAGAAAATAAACTTTTCAGATCGCAATATCTTTAATTCTTCAAATCGTAATATCTTTAATTCTTCAAATCGTAATGTCTTTAATTCAGTTAAACCACCAACTCATTATTATCCACATTATTCCAAATTAAAAACGGGAATTAGAATTCAATATTGGCCTACTTAGTATCTCGATGTGGTTATCTTACCGGGACAATATGGTTTCTTTATAATGCACAAAAAACATACCCTACTTGAAATGCGGAAGTAATTAAAATGGTTGAGATAGAGAGAGACGGGGGGGGGGGGTAACGTACACTCGATACAAATTAGTTCATTTCGGGACTAACATATGGTTCAATTTTATATCACTAATTCGCTTAATTACATTTTAATCTTCCAAATAATCGACTCACATCCCGGTTGGGTTTTCAGTCTTATTCAAAATATCCACCCAAGCCCGAAGACAACTACAGCTTTATAAAGTGTACTATTTCGAGGGGTATAGCCTTTATAATAACTTTTTTTTTAACTTTTGCTGATTGGCGTAGTTTGGTGCCGTTTGCCGTGCGCTTGTTATTATCTAATCTGTAATTTTGATAATATAAATAGTTATCTTAATGTTTAAATTAAATTGAATTTTGACATAATGTTGATCGCTTTTGACAAAAAGTCACCTCACCTGCGTTTTGCTTCACGGAATGGTGTCACCTGTAATACTGGATACTACCGAATGCCAAGTTCTACTCGCCATCCTTGTAATACATATTCTAAAAATGTAATACTGGAATACTATAGTAAATCCAGTTCTACAGGTCAACCATGTATTACATGTTATAATAATGCATATCATCGATATTATAGGTCTACATGTTAACCTTGTTAATACACGTGTTAATAATTTATAATACCATGTACCATATATATTACAGCACAATGTACTACTGGATACTACAGTACATTACATTCTACATGTCAACCATGTAATACGTGCCTTAATGATATATGTGATCCTAATACTGGTGTCTGTACGGCTGGATGTAAAGATATATATTATGGGGATAAATGTACAACCCAATGTAGTAATAAATGTACAAACAGTAGATGTTCTACCACTTCTTCGTCCTCATCACCTCAATGTACAGATGGTTGTGTTGATGGTTATACGGGTTTCTACTGTCAATCAACGTGTCCCAATAACTGTAGATCATGTCAGCAAGATGGGTCATGTAATAAATGCAACCAAGGCTGGTATGGTACAAACTGTGAATCTCAGTGTCCTGGTAATTGTGTCGGAGGGTGTGGTAAGATCGATGGTAGATGTATTGACTGTAAACCTGATACAGTTGGTCCATACTGTAACCTTACATGTGGTAAAGAATGTCAACAAAGAGCAGACCAATCCGCAATCACATGTGATAAAGACGGTAAATGTACTGATTGTATTGTAGGAAAAACTGGAGATAGATGTGATATGAATTGTAGTACAACATGTGATGGTGGATGTGACAGATATAATGGTAAATGTGTTACTTGTATTAAAGGTAAAACAGGCGACAAATGTAATATCAACTGTAATGATAATTGTACGGTTTGTAATCAGAATAACATCAATTCTTGTACTGAATGTATAGATGGTAAATGGGGACAGTCATGTAATAAACAATGTAATACTAACTGTAAATCAGTAGTTGGTACAACTGTTGGTAAATGTAATAGAACAACTGGATTGTGTAGTGAAGGATGCAAAATAGGATTATATGGTACAGATTGTAATAAGGATTGTAGTTCCTACTGTAAAGATGGTTTATGTTATGAGATATCAGGTGATTGTACCAATGGCTGTTTACCTGGTAAAATAGGATCTAAATGTACAAAAGGTAATTTTTTACAACACATTCTAGCTGCCCTTGATATACCGATTTTATTGGTATGTCAATTATAGGTATAATCTCTAAATTAATCATATACCATTTTAATGTTATTTCTCCAATTTCGTAATAGTCATTTTAAAATAGGCAATTTTAGTAGATAAAAATCACCGCGGCTGGTTCAAAAAAATCAACTAAAAGTAAAATAAGAAATCACGTATTACTTAAAATTAGTATAAATGTTGTCACATTTGAATTAATTATCGTTTAGTATTACTGTAAAATAAAGACTACTGTAGGGATCCACGGTGGCTAAGTAGGTAGGGCGCTGGCTCAGCTTGGAGGTCTCGTGTCCGATCTCTGCATTGTCCGAGAAAGTTCATCGGGATTTTCCGACGTGGTTTCCCCTTGCCAGTGGTACAGGACGGAGGGGTTGAGAACGACGTCTGTCGAGTCGTCAGATGGGATGAAAACCGAGGTCCCGTGTATACATAGGCGTGCACGTAAAAAAAATCCCTTGGTAGTAAGAGTAGAACATAGTGCCGCTGCCCGGGCAAAATTTTCCTCATAGCATACTGTATGGCGTATGCCTGTCTTCATTAGCCCAGTCGGAGCAGAAAAGTAGGATGTTAAATCCCGTGGCTATGACATTTTGTTGTTGACGCGAGACTATAGGGGAGTGTTTACGTTAGACTCGGTTTAAAACAATATACGTGAAACTATTTAAAGGACAATATTGGTACCAGTCATTATCACATATGTGATAGAACTGGTTAAACACGTTCCAAATATTATTTTATCATATAGATCATTTCTACGATAGATGCGTAATCAATGCTTCAACAATCGGAAGTGACAAAGGCAAAAGAAAACACGAGTTATCCCTCTATATAACTGAATGAAGTGACGAGTGATAACAGATACACATGGGAGAATTTCTGCTCACAAATAATTCCTTTGAAGACCAAAAGTTGTTATGTGAGACTGTAAGAGTATCTGACAATTCAAAAAAGTAATTGAATGTCATTAGATAAGAGACCACGAGAAAAATAGAAACAGTCCGTACATTCACGTGTGTTTATTCATTCTATATTTATAAAAACATGGTAATGCACGGACTTTTTCAATTTTTCTTTCATGTTCTCTTATCTAGTGACAGTCAATTTTTTTTATGAATTGTCAGATATCCTTTCACAGTCTCACACAACAACTTTTGGTCTTCGAAGGAATTATTAGTGAGCAGAAATTCGCCCATGTATCTGTTACCACCCGTCACTTCAGTCAGTTATATAGAGGGATAACTCGTGTTTTCATTTTGCGTTCGTCACTTCCGATTGTTGAGACATTGATTACGCATCTATCGCAGACCCATAGCCAGCTTGCTAGCTTCGGAGGGGCAGTGAAGTTTTTAGGGGGGGGGGGGGCACAGTCTACAGTAGGTATTTTAGAGCTATGATCGGCAATTTCTTTTTAGGGGGGGGGGGGGCCCTGGCCCCCCTCTGGCTACGGACCTGATCTATCGTAGCAATGAAGTCGGTGATAAAATAATATTTGGAACGTGATTAACCAGTTCTATCACATATGTGATAATGACTGGCGCCAATATTGTCCTTTAATTGATGTTTGCCTCAAGGAAGTATTGTTTCCTCTGTAAGGCTTAGATAATTAACAACAATAGTCGTGACGTATACCTTAATCTCATACAAACCTAATATTAACAACAGGCCGATATAAGGATCGGTATTATCACACCAAATGCATAACCTAAAATATCTATCATATTTTTATAGATTGTGAAGCAGGGAAGTATGGTGAAAACTGTGAAATTAAATGTGGTAACTGTGCCCAGAATGCACCATGTGATATATTGGATGGTAGTTGTGGACTTGATGGCTGTGATGATGGTTTTCGTGGCTCAAGATGTCAAGGTAAGGTACATTCACAAGTTACATTCATGATATCGTGCATCTCACATGTATCTTAAAATAATTTAGTTTTAGCAACGACAGATCTACCGATACTCTTTAAAAAAAGAAACGCAATGTGACATTTCGTCGTCGGAATGCCCTCCCTCTACCATCGCCTCGTTGGAACAGGAACCGCGTCACGTCGCTGAACCAAACTGTTCTCCAGTCTTGCTGTGGCCATACCCTCTGTGTCTGAACACATTGAAGTCGCATTTCACGGTGTCGGCGTATTTCAAAGCATTAGCTCTAACGGGACGTCTGGCTCGTAATCCGGTTTCACGTAGGCGTTTACGGACTGTCTGGTCTGAGATTGCTGCTGCAGTTAGGTCGTTGTTGAGAACCGTTTCCGCAAATGACGTAACCGGATGTGACGATCCAGGGCAGGTGGGGTCATATTGTTTGGCCTGAGCTTGGGCGGTCACGTGATAAACTTCGCTGTCGGTAACTATCCCTGGCTACACCTGTCTGGGATTCACCTGCTTGTAACCGACTAATAGCGTTGTTGCGTTGGTCTTCTTTCAGATGTGGCATCACTTGGTTCGTTGAGTGTTTACATGTGCAACTGATTTTAAAACCGAGAACGCTGGGGCTTTAAAGGCCTTAGATTTAGGTTTTATGCGAAAAGCTCGCAAAGTTGTTAAACTCGTGTGTCTTGGTGCAATCAAGCGAAAGCAATTTCGGCAAAAGTTATGACAAGTCACAATTAGTGACCCTACATTTAAAACCAATAATGAATTTCTTTTATCCTTACATAATGATATTAAAAACAAGTAAGATTTATTTAAACAACGACTCTGTTCAAATAAAAAAAAATGATGAAAAATGGGCTATGCGTTTCTTTTTTTTGAAGAGTATATTATTTTAAGATTATACTTTTTTTTATTGAATATTTATAAATAATACTATGGTTAGGTATCAAGTGTTTATAAATATTATTCACTAGGAATAAAAATTCAAGTTCAAAAAGTCAACTGGGTGAAACAACTAATTCTATTTTTTTTTTCAAATGATATTAAAGAACTTTTGATCAAATGACGTTATATAATCCAACCATATGATACAGTGTAATTACACTACTCGCTGTGTTGGATTATACTTATGATGTTTCCGCACAATTCATGGTATGATTTGATTCGAAACTGGGCTAACATATCGCTGGATAAGCCAGTCTAAATGAATACATGTGATTTAGTTGTTGAATATTCGGTGGCAGTATTGATTGGTACTGAATTAAAACTGCAATGTTTTATGTCAAGGTATGGAGGAGAAGTTGTGCTTTGGTTACTGTATATTATGATGGAAATCATATTAATTTTTACAATATTCTCCAGACATATATAAATATGTGGCTTTAATCCGATTATTTACAACAGGCTTGGATATGAAATGAAATGGGGTTTAACGTCCTACTTGTTTGCACTGACTGGGCTAATCAAGACGGCTCATGAGAACAAACATAAAACATACAGAGTGTTTAGATCTGTTTCATTCATAACCTCCTCAACACATGATTGACAAATGTTTCGCACAATGGGGAATTTATCAATCGCTATTAAATAATTGTAAATTGAATAATGTTGAATGTTATTGGTGATGTCAATCAACATTCTACGCGTGATCATTCTCATCTCTCGGGACGCGCAGCTTTACTTTTGAAAACCTGACTGATATCGTCTCATCTTTGGATCCCCGTGAAAGCCGACATTAACTAAGTGCTCGCAGATCAGATTATGTTCAAAACACATTAATTTATAACTGCTAATATGACCTCATCTTTCAACAGAAAAGATAGTAGATGGTACCAGTATAAGTCCTATTGCAATTGGAGTCATTGGTGTTTTATGCGGAATGGTAGGAACGGTAGCTTTCGGTTTATCATATCATTTCTATAAGAAAAGGTAAGTTCTTGTGGTACTGTAAATCAACACTGTTAAAAGGTAAGTTACTAGTATGTTCCTTAACACTAATCTTTTAGATGCATTAAGTAACTGGATAGAGCAATAAACTATAACACATACTTATGGAAGAACAATTACTGATTTATTTCGGTGACGTTTCGAGGAGTGTTTTCTCAATGTTTGCAATTAATTCGCCTAAAAAATCAGAAATTGTTCTTCCATAAGTAGGTGTTATAGTATTCCGTAACACTATTAGTTGATTCTGATCATACCATATAATTAACCTAACTTGATTTGCTTAATGTCATTACGATTTATTATTGTACCAAAGGAACAATCATACCCATATCTGTTTAATTCCGATGTCCTTTTATTACACTTTAATGTGCCATTAACGTGTATTTCAGACGCCAGTCAAGTCAATCGAGAGAAGAAAATGATCCCGATAATGTTTACTGCAATACAGATCTAAATTCTACTAGATCTACAACAGATGATACATTAACACCTGCATATCAAAACATTACTACTAACACACGCAATGTTGAATATGAAAACCAGTCGTTTAATACAGAAGACAACAACACAAGAAATATGTATGATATATTAGATCACACATCAGATAGTGTAAATAATACATACACAACTTTAGATTTAAACTAAGTAAAGATCTGTTAAAGATCCGTTTTAAGGAAGCGATTTTATATAAGCCGATAAAACTTGTTATCGTATCCTATATTTATTATATAAATTTTGTAAATTTAAATTAGTAAAATATTGTTTAATTAAGTAAAATCGACAAAAGACTAATTGTTGATATAAGTGCACTAGGGGGTTATTCTGTTGATGATAGACCAAACCAGTTTTAAAAATGTTCATAAATAATTTCTCTCTTTAAAACTTTATTCACAAGAACACACCATCGGACAACGGACCCCAGGAGACCTACATGGTGACGATATTGGAGAAAACTGAATTTATAGGAGATAAATCTCTCTTCTTTGGCTCCTACACAAATGGGTCGCAATGTATATAATAATGTAATATGAATTGATATAAACTGATTTACTTTCAAGTGTTTCTGTTTTTACTGTAATGTCTAAACAGTTATGTTCGTCGAAATACTCGACCGGTTATTCCAGTCTAAACCGGTGGTATTCTCGTGTGGAATATGTTTAGCCTCGTTTATCGAGTCGCTTCATTACAAACGGCGCCCGAAAGCAATCTGGCACGCGATTTGTGTGCCAATTTTAACATTTTCATTTTGTCTTAAATATTGGATATCAAAAGTCCATCTTTTCACGGTAAGATAAGATAACAACATCAATGTGGATTAGAATTGACCACTAAGTCGTGTTTGCTATATCGAAGACTGTAGATGATATCGAGTTAGAGACTTGCTCCCTTTAAGAAGCCTGTTGAATGAGGCACCATGACAGTTGATTAGATCAAATGTCCATTAGTTAAATCAAGCAATTCCCTCTTCCAAGGGATCGTCGTCTTTACACTATTTTTGTTGCGGCAAAGTATGACGACTTGACGAAATTTAAGATAAGTGTTGCCGCAAGATATAATACAAATTAAAAGATGAATTGACAAATGGTTATTATTTAATGTAGATCTAGATTTTTAGCAATATGAGTTGGTTCCGGGGTTTTGTAAATATAATTGCAACTTGACTATATATACCAAGATATTATATCTGCAAAACTTTTATTTGATCTGGGTCCTCTTCTTCGGACTCAAATGCTACACATCAAATTATGTAACCACAAAACAGAACGTTGTGGAGCGCTGTTTACCGATAGGATTTGTCCGTCAATGATCCAAGTGCTTCACACCAAATTTAAGGTAAATTTGTATCCTCTATCGTATTAACATGTTTTCGGAAAGGGGGTGGGGCAATTCAGGAAATGGGTCGAGCAAAACTGAAAATCGATAGGGGTCCTCCTCTCTTGACACCAATGTTGTAGCCCCTATTGGGTTAACGAGACAATTGTTGACGGACCGTCATGGGTGATGACTTAATACATTTAAATGTTAGCGTTTCAAAATGAGGAAGCGTCAGGCCCGGGGACCATAAAATGAATGTAAACTACTGTTCTCGAAAAGGCCGATACTGCAGATATCAAAACAGAAAAGAAATAAAATAAAATGAAAAAGAGTTGAACATCCTACATTTCTACATTTTGCCCAGGCAGCAGCAGTTCTACGGATTACTCGTATTTGAGTTGTCAAGGGTTGTTTTACGTGCACGCCAATGTGTATACAGAACTTCGGTCTTTCATACCACCCGAACGACTAGACACCGTCCTAGCCATAACCTCCATAATGCACCACCAACAACGGGTAACCGTGCCGGAAAATATCTAGGAACTTTCTCGGCCAACACTGGGATTGAACTCGAGACCTCCTTGTTAGCGAGCCATATCCTTACTCTACATTAGTTTATACACCAATGTAAGCGTTCGGTTTCAGCAATTCTATCGACATAAAACTGACTGGTCCTGGTGACGTCAATCTCCGTGTTAAGCCTGTCATTTGTTAGTCGGCAAGATTAATAATTCTATTCAGAAACGGATACCCCCTGCTATAAATATAAATATTGAGAACTTGTACAACCATTTTAAGTCTTTACTTAATCCGCCTGTTGAATCATCAGATGACGAGTTTGATTGCTATGTAAATGAATATATATATACGTGATAATAAATGTAAACATAACGAATGTCAATCGGATACAGAATATTATGAACTAAATCGTGATATCTCACATAGTGAAATTCTCTCTGCTATTGCAAATTTAAAATCCGGCGAAGCTCCTGGTGAGGATCTCATTCCTCCTGACTTTTATAAGCATGCATACAATCAAATGTTACCATTACTAAACTATATAATTGTATATTTAGTAGTGGTGTGCTCCCTAAAAATTGGTCCTATAGCATTATTCACACTTTGTATAAAAGGGGCGACACGGATAACCCTGGAAATTATCGAGGAATTTCATTGATAGATATCGCCTGTAAATTAATATGCACTATTTTGAACGAAAGGCTTAAAAAGTAGTCTGATGAGAAAAATGTGCTTGTTGAAGAACAGGCAGGTTTTCGTCACGGATACTCTACAGTTGAGAATATATTTGTTTTAAATGCAATAATCCCAAAATATCTTTCAAAATTAAAAGGCGGGGTCTTATATTGTGGATATATCGACTTTTCTACAGCCTATAATTATGTAAGTAAATTGTTGTATATTTTCCTTAAAAATAGTCTTAATGGTCGAATGTATAATATATTGCATAATATGTATGATTGTGTAAAATCAGCAGTAAGAGCTAATGCTGCACTCTCTGAGTATTTTGAATGCATTTCTGGGGTTAAACAGGGTTGTATTCTCCGCCCTTGGTTATTTGGACTGTTCATCAACGAGCTAGCCTTGTGAACCAGGGCTCAAATTGGTGCTGGAATCTTCACTGTTCCTAATATCGATGACGTATATTCTTACTTCTTTTTGCTGACGATCTTTCCCTCCTAGCTGATACGTCTGCAGATCTACAGAAGAGCCTAGATATTATTGATAGGTATTGTTCAAAATGGAACATGAAAGTTAATTTAGAGAAATCAAATATAGTAGTCTTTAAGAATGGCTGTATTCTGTCAAGGCGGGAGAAGTGGTATTATCAAGGAAAATCTATTGAGGTCGTAAATCAATATAAATACTTAGGAGTTGTATTCTCAAATCGTCTCAAATGGATTCTATGTTGTACAACATTAGCACAACAAGCTTCTATGCATTTCCAAACAATGCATTTCCAAACCAGGTCATAAAATTGTTAAAATCGCATTCAAACTATTTGATCCAAAGGTTTCTCCTATATTGTATTATGGGCTGAAGTGTGGGGAACTGAATTAAGAATAGATATACTGGTGGTAAAACAACAAATGCTTTAGCAAGAGCCGAATGTGGTAGATATGACTTATACACTAATTGTATATGTAAACCCATTAAGTATTGGTTTGAATTATTGGGCATGGATAACTCCAGATTACCGAAATTGTGTTACAAAATGCCCAATGATCTGGATGTACATAATAGAATAAATTGGTGCACTAATGTACGTAATATTTTGTTCAAATACGGATTTGGTCATGTTTGGTTTAACCAAGGTGTTGCTAATATTGCACAATTTATGCTGTGCTTTAAACAACGCGTTAGAGATGTAAGTCTTCAAGAATGGCATGATTTTATTACCAATTCGCCAAAATGTATGTTTTGCAGTCTACTTAAATCAAGTACACGTTGCGAATCATACTTAAATAGAAATCTTCCACATAAACTTAGATTTGCATTAGCAAACTTTAAATGTTCAACTGTTCTTCTCCAGGTAGAACATGGTTTCGTAGGGACCCCCCCCCCCCCCCCCAGGTAGAACGTATATGCAAACTTTATAGCACTAATCAAGTGGGCGATGAAATCCACTTCATGATATACTGTCCAATCTTGCGAGATCTAAGACATAATTTCTTACCGTCATGGTTTATTAGATCCCCAGCAGTAAGTAATCTAGTGTCACTATTTAATTCGACTGATCACATTGTAATAAGGAATTTATCCTTGTTTATATCAAAAGGTATAGAATTAAGACAAATAATGCTCTGCTATTAACTCGAACTTTAGCTACTCTATTGTGAATATTTTAACTAAAATAGTAAGATTTAAATTGTAAATATCATCTACAATAAGAATATTTTATATTTAAAATCTCATAAGTTTCAATTTTGTTGAGATAAGTCTTACTTTCGTTAAAAATATGTATCATCAATATAGAAAGTAACTAGTAATTAAATTTGAACATTTGATATTACTTAGAGCATTATCTTTCAGATTTATTTGTATGTGTACTGTAGGCTGTTGCCTTATCGTTATAAATAAACTGTTTGTTTGTTTGTTTGTTTGTTTGTTAGTCGGCAAAATGGACATCTGCAAAGTGACGACTAACTGTCAAATCATCAGCAATAGAAACTTACCATAGCTTGACAGGAGTAGATGTTGATGAAATGTATCAGTTTATTGTTAAAAAAAATGACCTAGTCCCAAATTTAATATCGGAGAAAGTATGTTTACATGGTGATTGCCACCTCGACGTTTAGTTAGCAACCCGAGCAACTAATAATTCACAGACCAAAATCAACAGTGTAAACCAGACCACAGACGCCTGTAAAATGGAAAATCATCTCTTTCAAACATAACATAAATCTGGGGCTGAGTATTATTCTTAAAGTCTATTACGTTCATATTTACTTACGACGGTCAAATTAAATTTAGATGACAATATCGCAAGTCTTTCTTTACACTGATAACTGATAAATGTGACCCATGCCGGATGAGGCGGAAATAACTGACTTCTGCATCTTTCCGGACCACTCTACTGTTGTCAAGTACATTGTTAGTCGTCATGGACAGCAAACGGGGATTTGGTTGCCGAAAGGTTTTAGATTTAAGATCATAAAGTCTGTTATTAAGTCAAGTGACGTGGTTTAGATTTCCCACTTGTACGTGGCAGGAGATAGGGTCGTCTGTTCAATCTTTTGGGTTTTCTGCTAAAGACGCCTAGTTTGAGACGAATGGACGTTAAACTCCCCCCTCTCTCGTTCTCTGTCTCTCTCTCTCTTTCTCTCTCAATGAGAGTACGCTTGACAGAGTTGATTTAAATATATTGATATAGTCCACCTGTAATCACCCCAGAAAGTAAACCTACAGTTGTCACAAATGGTTAGTAATTATGTGGTGCCGAATGTCCGTATCGATATTAATAAGACAATGATTATGGTGGGCGTATGTTGCGTTGATAGGTAACCAATATATTTGTATATAATCCATACGCATTGTGCTTTCTATTTCACGTTGACAGTATATAATCCATGCGCATTGTGCTTGTCTATTTCACGTTGACAGTATCATTTCGTAGAGTGCATTCGATTTTATATTCACAATCGTGTTATAATCTGAAAATTACTGTTTACTAGGTACATTATTGCACATATTTTCAGTTGACAATATGTACTGGTATAAAGTTAACGGTGTGTGATGGGAGATTTTTGGCTTCAGGCGTTTTCTTACACTATTTTTATATTCGAACATCCTTTATCTTTAATACACTTAAAAGACATTGCTATGTCCTACATATATTCTGATTTACTTCCTTCTTCGCCATTATATTATATACTACACACAGCTTTCTCTATATTAGTAAAGTTTTATTACTATAGCATGTGTTTAAGTTCATGACAATTATTATGCATAGTAACACTGATAATTAAAACGTAGGTAAGTCATAAAGTTATATTATAGTATTTTCGTACAGTGTCAGGGTATATATATGTTAAAACTTTAGTAATGAATTTTAAAACGTAGGTAAAATTATATTACAGTATTTCGTACAGTGTCAGAGTATATAATGTATACAACTTCAGTAATGGAATTTAAATATATAGACTATAGCCCAAGAAAATCACCCGTATTTCTGTACTTGGATTTGGGCGGGAAATGCATAAAACTATTATCAAAACATGAACAACATCAAGATTTATCTAAGCAATATTAGGCCACAAATCTCCATAAGGGTGTCGAGGTACACCCCACCATGAGGTATTTATATTCTTTTTGTCTGGTGGTGACAAGGTGTTGTGATTGTTTACTGTTGTGATGCGCGTATGTTCTTTAAGATTTGAGGGAAACTGAAACTATTATAATCTCTGGAGATTTATGCTTTCTATTATGAATAATAATGTTAGGCGAATATGAGAATTGTATCAATATTATATCCTTGGCCAATTATTGGTTTCAAATTTAGAAACAAGTTCGATATCACGTAGTCTAACCGAAATAGAAGAATAGCAGGATGAGGGGTCTGAGGTCAAGGCTAATTTGTCTATTGTCTAAAACACTTATGATGGAAAGTTACCAATTACATCATTAGGCATAAATTTGATGTAGATATGCTCTGCTCACCTGCACCACGCCCATTTACGCTTGAAACTGAACAATTATTACGAAAAAAAACCTCGTTTCTTCATTGGAATTTGTCGTCAATTGTTCTAAACATTTCGAATCTAATAAAATAGTTTTCAGGGGTTCGTCGGCCGAGATACGTTTCTTTTTAATTGATGCCATTGCTTAAAATCACCCAAATATATCGATAAAACATTTTTCTCAAGCTAACAACGAACTTCCGACATTTATAGATAATTCACATGTGGTAAAAATGACATCATATGCACTAAACTATGTACATCCAATTTGTTGTCTGCCGTAGCGACCCGTCTAGTCGACAGAACTAGCGAAAGATTTAGGAATCTATATAGCTTAAATTTAATAATCTTGAAATACCAAGATGCATTATGTAAGATTTAGATAAAGGGCGGAGGGTTAAAACAAATAGATGCTGAAAAAATAATGTTTGAAACTTTAATTATATAGTCTCGATTGGCAAGTACCAATGCTACGATAATAACCAAAGTCTCGACTGTCCATTTTTAAATTAAATTATTACATGGGAATCGTGTTTTAATCCATTAAAATCACAGCCACCCGATCTTCTGGAGAGTTGAATTAAGGCAAAATAAAGACCTGCAATAGGAAGAAATAGCTCTTATATAATGCATCTTTAATCAAATTGTTACTTACATCCTAGACTTTTACTTGTGTAACCAATCCGGCTTCACATCATTGTGCCCATACCTTTTTATCTTTTTGAATGATATGTATTTTTTTTTGTAGATTTTCGGGCAACATTTTGAAACAGTAACCTGATATGGCAGTTCTAGTAATGTACACTGTATTGACTATATTATCTGTAATAATTGGTATATTAGGTATGTTGTCGACGAAGTATTCATATAGAGTATCATACATTAATCACCGACTGTTATTCGTATATAAGATGTAATGAAAAAGAGCACACTTTTATTCAGGATAATAGTGAATTTTGTTTGATAGATAACATGAACGCACTACGATAATACGTGAAAATGATGCTCCTTCTTCCCTTCGTCTCGTTACGAGTAATAGCGCGAAGTCAAGAAGGCAAGAAATAATCGGTGCGAAGCGAAGAAATCGAGTCATTTCTTTCCTTATTGACTTCGGGGTGGCATTTCTTCGCTTCTTGCCATCGCTTCGCGACGAGTCTATAACTGGAAAGCGAAGCCAAGAAGGGAAGAAGTCGTTTCACTTCGCTATCCGGTTTACCTTATCAACTGGCGTTGATGTATTGTTCGCATCTTCTCTTCGTTACTTCTTGGTCTAACGAGAAACAAACAAGAACAAAATGTATTTATCAAATATATCTAATATTAATATTTTACATATGAAGGATACATTTAGGTGGAGATTACTGAAATACATGTATTAAAGTAATGGTCAGAATATTAATATTTTACCTATCAAGGATACTTATATATTGGTGTTTCGTGTTTAGTTACTGCAATTCATGTATCAAAGTAGGAGTAGGGTCGCCTGTCAAACCGTTAACCTTGTGGGTTTTCTTCGGGTCCTCCGGTTTCCTCCCACTACTAAAGACCCCTACGCACAAACGGATTGTTGAAATAAAATTCAAACATGTGTTAGTCCTGAAATGACCTAGTTTGTGTCAAGTAGACGTTAAACCCCATCTACATGTACCTCTAAAGCATTGGTCGGGATGGATGTGTTTTTGTTTCCAAATTATGTTTAATTTCAGCACTAGACTCATGTAGTGATACCGGCAACAACTGTCAATACTGTGGTGCTACGAACTATCCTATAGAAGTCGCGTACAGACAGAGTTGTATGAAAAAATGTGGCGTTTGTTCAGGTAATCGTGTAAATGTTGTACTTAACAAGTTCATTTAATAATATGTTGGGTTTTCTTACTTTTATTTTGTATGAAAAATTGTGATTAATTCACATAATATTTTTACCAGTATGATTTGCTAAACTATTGGTTCCAGCCATACCAGCCATGGCATATTTACGGTCTTCGTGTCCTATGAATGTAATATTACATTCCAATATATTTACAGATAAATCATTTATTAATTTCTAATCAACAGATATTAATGTTGCACTTGATAAACCAACCAAGCAGAGTTCTACACTGTATTATGGTACAATTAATTCTAATTCTTCTAATGCTGTTGATGGTAATACAGATAGTGACTGGTTTCATGGACACTGCACTCATACAACCAAAAATACATCTCACTGGTGGTGTGTTGATCTGAAACAAATCTATAACATTGACAATATCAAAGTTTTTAATAGGAATCAAAGTAAGTGTATTTAAATTTAACATAACCATTCTGATAAATGTGGGCATATATTGTACATTGCCAGATATATGACCAATAATTATGATATCATCGTGTATGCTATCATTAAAGATTGGTTTAGTGTTAGGTTTTTATATGACTTATATGCGAGAGAGAGAAAGAGAGAGAGAGAAATGGGGTTTAACGTCCACTCGACACAAACTCGTCCATTTTTGGACTAACTTATGTTGTTTTGTTGGGTTTTTTTTTTGGGGGGGGGGAGGTCTTTTGTTAATTTTATTTCAATAATTCGCTTCCGCGTAGGGATCTTTAGCAGTGGGGAGAAACCGGAGGACCTTGAGAAAACCCACGAGGTTGGACAGGCCAACCTACTCCTTGTCACGTACAACCGGGGATTCGAAACCACGCTAGTTGACTCAATGACAGGCCTTGTGATACAGCACGCACGTGCTAACCATTCGACCATCCAACCCTCCGGGACAATGTTGATGATAGCCAATGTTACATATGAAGTGAAATGAAATGGGGTTTAACGTCCCACTGTTCCGCTCCGAACTGGGCTAATGAAGACGGCAATACGCCATGCAGTGTGCTATGAGGGCAATTTTGCCCGGACAGCGGCACTACGCCCTACTCTTATCTCGAATTCCAACTGTCAAGGGATCTTTTACGCGCACGTCAATGTGTACACGGGACCTCTGTGTTTCGCCCCATCCGAACGACTAGACAGCTGTTCTTGTCAGGCCCTCCGTCCTGCATCACTGACAAGGGGGAAGCACGCCGGAAAATCTGGAGGAACTTTCTTGGCCAATACAGGGATCGAACGCCCTGTTACATATGTAATAGACCTGATTAAGCACACTCCATATATAATTTTAACACAGAGATCTTTAGTTGATCCGTAGCAACGATTTGAAGAATTAGAAAGTGACGCAAATAAAGGAAAACTCAAGTTATCCTTACTACAGAAGTAGAGAGTGATAACAGATTCACATTCGATTTTCAGCTCAGTAACAATTCCGTTGAAGTTGAATAGTTATTTAATTTGACAATAATAACAAAAATTTGCTTATGAGCTGTGCCTCTATTACATTAACTCCACTGATATATCAATAGATATAAGTGCATATAGAAATTCACGGTGCTTTTATATCAAACCAAAGTGGGATATTATAACTTTCAGATAAAGATAGGTTAGCAGGGTTTGAGATAAAGACTAGTTCTGATGATCAGTGTGGTGGATCGGGATTTAGTTCAGCTACTTCATGTTTTAAAGATACACCAACAACAACCCAGGATGTATACACAATAAATGCATGTAATCTGGGTTCATCTACATCCATATCTGCTAGAACTGTTTATGTTGGCGTAACTACCCAATATCTTACCCTCTGTGAGGTTCAGATATTTGCTGGTAAGACTTCATTTTATACCACAGTATTAATATAATGTAATGAAAAGATGTCATTAACACTTCTACAAACCATATATTATGTGTCTTTTCTTACAATTTTAAACTTTACCTAATTTTCCGTTAAAAAAATAAACTTTTCAAATCGCAATATCTTTAATTCTTCAAATCGTAATGTCTTTAATTCTTCAAATCGTAATGTCTTTAATCCAGTTAAACCACCAACTGATTATTATCCATATTATTCGAAATTAAAAACGCGAATTAGAATTCAATATTGGCCTACTTAGTATCTCGATGTGGTTATCTTACCGGGACAATATGGTTTCTTTATAATGCACAAAAAACATACCCTACTTGAAAATGCGGAAGTAATTAAAAATGGCTGAGATAGAGAGAGACGGGGGGGGGGGGGGTAACGTCCACTCGATACAAATTAGGTCATTTCGGGACTAACATATGGTTCAATTGTATATCACTAATTCGCTTGCGCGTAGGGGTATTTAGCTGCGGTAGCAAACCCACGAGGTTGTCACGTACAACCAGAGTATTCAAACCACGCCAGTTGACTCAATGTCAGTACTTATGATAAATAGTGTACATATATAATTACATTTTAATCTTCCAAATAATCGACTCACATCCCGGTTGGGTTTTCATCTTATTCAAAATATCCACCCACGCCCGACGAAAACTACAGCTTTATAAATTAGTGTACTATTTCGAGTGGTATAGCCTTTATAATAACTTTTTTTTAAACTTTTGCTGATTGGCGTATTTTGGTGTCGTTTGCCGTGCGCTTGTTATTATCTAATCTGTAATTTTGATAATATAAATAGTTATCTTAATGTTTAAATTGAATTTTGACATAATGATCATTGCTTTTGACCAAAAGCCACCCCACCTGCGTTTTGCTTCACGGAATGGTGTCACCTGTAATACTGGATACTGCTGAATACCAAGTTCTACTCGCCAACCTTGTAATACATATTCTAAAAATGTAATACTGGAATACTATAGTAAATCCAGTTCTACAGGTCAACCATGTATTACATGTTATAATAATGCATATCATCGATATTATAGGTCTACATGTTAACCTTGTTAATACACGTGTTAATAATTTATAATACTATGTACCATATATATTACAGCACAATGTACTACTGGATACTACAGTACATTACATTCTACATGTCAACCATGTAATACGTGCCTTAATGATAGATGTGATCCTAATACTGGTGTCTGTACGGCTGGATGTAAAGATATATATCATGGGGATAAATGTACAACCCCATGTAGTGATAAATGTACAAACAGTAGATGTTCTACCACTTCTTCGTCCTCATCACCACAATGTACAGATGGCTGTGTTGATGGTTATACGGGTTTCTACTGTCAATCAACGTGTCCTGATAATTGTGTCGGGGGGTGTGGTAAGATCGATGGTAGATGTCATGACTGTACACCTGATACAGTTGGTCCATACTGTAACCTTACATGTGGTAAAGAATGTCAACAAAGAGCAGACCAATCCGCAATCACATGTGATAAAGACGGGAGGTGTACTGATTGTATTGTAGGAAAAACTGGAGATAGATGTGATATGAATTGTAGTACAACATGTGATGGTGGATGTGACAGATATAATGGTAAATGTGTTACTTGTATTAAAGGTAAAACAGGCGACAAATGTAATATCAACTGTAATGATAATTGTACGGTTTGTAATCAGAATAACATCAATTCTTGTACTGAATGTATAGATGGTAAATGGGGACAGTCATGTTATAGACAATGTAATACTAACTGTAAATCAGTAGTTGGTACAACTGTTAGTAAATGTAATATAACAACTGGATTGTGTAGTAAAGGATGTAAACTAGGAATATATGGTACAGATTGTAATACGGATTGTAGTTCCTACTGTAAAGATGGTTCATGTCATCAGACGACAGGGAATTGTACCAATGGATGTTTACCTGGTAAAATAGGATATAATTGTACAACAGGTAAATTATAGTCCATAATACACCATGCGGTGCTCTCTCGACGAATATATTTTGAGATTAGTCAAGAAAACGTATAATTTTTTCTCTGTACATAAATTAATTAGCAGATATGCTTTAATTACTCAATGCACAGCTATGCTCATTTTTTACTGTCCCGTCGTTATTTGCAACATAAATCCTGCTAAAACCATTTGAATTGATACTGTTCAAAATGCATACTGAGATCTGCATTACTCAATATACTCATGGTTAATTCTTTAATCGACGATTTTAGTCGAACATACTAAGTATACTTTTTTTTTATCCTGCCATCATTTAACAAAATATTTGTGTATATGTAAGATGTAAACGGCCGAGCACCACATTACAAAATAGTATACTAAATTTTGAATGTGGCAGCCATTCACGACATGGATCGATTCTCAATGTGTGTTTAATAACCTGAAACACACTTTGACGATACATTGTCCTATAATTCGACGATGTTTATATTGGATATATAGATTGTGAACCAGGGATGTATGGTGAAAAATGTAAAAGTAAATGTGGTAACTGCGCCCAGAATATATCTTGTGATATATTGGATGGTAGTTGTGGACTTACGGGTTGTGCAGATGGTTTTCAAGGACAAGCTTGCCATTTGAAAACAGAATCAACAACAGGTAGCTATGTATTCAGCAATAAGAACAACTTTAGTGATAAAACATAGTATAACTGACTGAATGGTAATACAATATTTAATTAGTTTAATGCGGATAAGGGGGGTGAATGGCCGAATGTTTAGCTGTATCATACGGTCTGTCATTGCGTCAACTGGCGGGGTTTCGATTCCCCGGTTGTACGTGACAAGGAGTAGGGCCGCCTGTCCAACCTCGTGGGTTTTCTCCGGGTCCTCCGGTTTCCTCCCACTGCTAAAGACCCTTACGCGCAAGCGAATTATTGAAATAAAATTGAACCATGTGTTAGTCCCGAAATGACCTAGTTTGTGTCGAGTGGACATTAAACCCCATTTCTCTCTCTCTCTTAATGCGGATAGTCTGTATTAATGAAGATCTCGATCGTATAGGAGGGGTTTTCGGAATAATAAATAGTTATTGGCGTAGGTCTATTTTAGTAGTTTGTCATTCATCTCTATTCTCTAATTGTAGAAACCGATAATATGACAACAGTAATAGGTTCTGTGGTGGCTGCTATGGTTGTTATCACAGTTATTGGTGTTGTTATTATTTTACTTGTAAGGCGCAGAAGGTAGGTTTTCCATCTTAACTGTAATAAACAAATCAGCACACGAATTGTTCGTTCCTCTATTCATTTAATCGAACACACATTTTATTTTGTTTCCTGAGGAAATGAAAATGAACAAGCCAACAGTGAAGCTGATGTCCCCCGCCAAAATCCCCAAATAAATAGATGACACATATTAATTAATCGCACATATATTGTTTTCAAAAGTATCGAGCAATCAAACTGATTATCAACTATACACTAAGTTTCATCACTCTCTATCAGATAGAATCAAAGTTATCTTGTCCCAAAGCATCGACTAAGGAAATTGCTTATCTCTGCTTAGCTTTAGCTCGATATGTTAATCATTGAACTCAGTCAAGACGAACATCTACATCCAGTTTAAACATTCTACCTCAATTAGAAGCAGAGTTGTTATGTTCGAAAGTCTTGACCAATCAAAATGCTTATTGCTCCTTAACCTAAGCAGACAATTCTCATCATCTAACTTAGCCAAGGTATTGGTGTAATGAAACTATACACCAAGTTTCATCACTCTCACTTAATTAGAACTAAAGTTATCGTGTCCCAAAGCATCAATCTTCGCACTCTAACAAGGCATTGACCTCATAAACACCTACACCAAGTTTGAACATTCTAGCTCAATTAGAAGGAGAGTTATTGTGTTCCAAATTGCTTATCGCTCTGCTTACCCTGAGCAGAGAATGCTCAATATCGAACTTAGTCAAGGTATTGATGTAATGAAACTATACACCAAGTTTCATCACTCACTTAATTAGAACTAAAGTTATCGTGTCCCAAAGCATCAACCAATCAAATTGCTTATCTCTGCTTACCCTAAGCAAAAAATGCTCATCAAGGCATTGACCTAATAAACACCTCCACCGAGTTTGGACATTCTAGGTCAATTAGAAAGAGAGTTATTGTGTCCCAAAAAGTGTGACGGACAGACAGACGGACGGACGGACGGACGAACCCATTTTAATAGTCCCCTGCTTTCTTCGAAAGGCGGGGGACAATTATAGTGTAGTAATGTTAATATATTACTAACGTGTGGGTATTAATATTTGCTACAAACTAATTTTCAGAAGACAGAAATCTATGGAATCTAACCAACTTGAAGTCAACCATTCGCACCTAGTTTCAAGTGTCAATAACAACGATTCCGCTTCTAAAAACACAGCCCCTACAGGTTGGTTGATATTTATAAAAAAACATCTACAACAAAGATGTCTGTTTGTCGGATAAAGTCGTCAGAGATTTCAGGTGTTACAAAAATAAATATCTATGGAAGGTCTGACTTGTAAATTAACATTAACATCGGCTTTTATTTACCATAAAGAAACTAAAATAAAATATATTATAATTAAATATTAAACTCAAACATATTTGTAAATTTGAATCAAATCATAATCTGGTGAGGCAAAAATGTCAAAATGACTTTTTTCTTTACAATTTTTATCAAATTGTTTATACGAACATTTAAATCAACAGTAACCGAAAAACCTAACGTCAAAGGCAATACATATACTAATCTGCTAGCAGAAGACGAAAATGAGGGAGCACAAATTTATGTCAATGTTGATGAACCAACTGAAGCTTCTACACGTATTACATTGAAAAATCTGCTTCATTATATCGAACAACGAAAGACGGAGACAGAATCACTGAAAGCTGAATTTCAGGTGCGTGATACTATACGTATTTTATTATTCTCTGTTTCGGTATCAAAAGTGGCTTCTGCAATTATTACAAATTGATAATAGATCAGATAAATATCACAAATACATTCTTTCGTTTTACAGACTCTTCCAAGTGGACTATGTTCAGCATATGATTATTGTATGAATACTGTTAATAAGCCAAAGAACAGATACAAGAACATATGCGCTTGTAAGTAACTTTCAGCAAAGATTCATTTTCTCTCAGTATTGCCATGTATTAATGTTTATTTATACGCCTACATTTTCATGTGGACGAAGACGAATATTGTCGTCGCCCATGCCCATCCGTTCATCGACAAATTGTTTGTGGACACTCTACAGTTCACAATTTCCATCCAATTGTAACGAACTTCGAATATAGGGTTATTCCCAATTTTTATCCGATTTTGATAAAACATAAATATTCGTGCAGATCAGAATGTAACTTCCTGGATTATATACTCTTCCAAAAAGTAGGGGATACAAAACTGCGGAAATGCACTGCTGTTCTTATTAGAGGTAACCAGTGTATGTTAATAACAGGCCAATGGCCTGCACATGAACATAAACAGTTCATATGGGCGGCGTTTCTGACGGCCCCGTTTCACTCGCAAAGAGATACACCGACAAAAGTGATAATGGACGTTTTTGATTTTTGTCTTAATAATGAGTAATTGCTCCACCAATCCTCGGACATTCAGCGATTCGTCGTGGCATGCTCCTAATCAACCGTCCAATCACGATTTGGGCCAATCTAACCCACTCCTTTTGCAGTGCCAATACGGCCAATTTTTGCAGTGTTGTCGGTTGACGATGACGTCGACGAACACGTCTCCCGACCAAATTAAACGTAACACACTAAAGCAAAGATACGCTAAACAGTAAATCTTATTCAAGAACCGATAGGAAAGCAAACATGGATAGATAAACCAGCACGCGGCAGTTTTCATCAACCCTTCCTTGGAGTGTCAAATTTGACAATGAAGACCTCCCACGCGTATGGCGCTATTGCGTGTCGCATGTGCAGCTCAGTGGTTCTGTTGGGGCGGTACGTTCTTCATCTGTGATCATACTCTCAAAGCATGTCAAGTGTCCATGACTATTTATCATATCACAACCTGCATAGGTATTTGCATTTCAATATCCCCTACTTTTTTTGAAGAGTATATTATAGCCCCTGATTGTATGAAAAATCGCCCTTTCGCTTGTTCATCTCTTGCAAAATGTGGGCGTATCTTGGATGGCAACCGCTTGTTGTCAAACATAGTGCTTATATAAATGTTATGTGTTATGCTGATATGGTTTGTTACAGTTGACCATTCACGAGTTAAATTGGACATAGAAAACGATGACCCTAATTCTGATTACATCAATGCTTGCTGTATAACTGTAAGTTATTCGATATTTAGACAACAGTTTTATAGAACAATTCTGAAATATGATTTTAGCCTTAGGGTATGCCACATGATTCGTTTTAATTAAAGCCATTTTTTATGTTAGTTGATGCCAATTGAGCTTCATTCATGTGTGTCTTTCTTAAAACATTTCAGGGAAAATAGATATTCCCTTGAATAGGCCATTGAATACTTTCTAAAACACTACAACAGTAAAATCCCACTAATATAAAGCCAGCTAAAGGATTTATATAACCTGCTTTTGTATCGCCCTTTTTACTTATTATATGCTTAGGTTTAATACTATTTGTATCAATTTTGTTATCTAGGGATATGGCGACATTGAAAACAAATATATCGCTTCTCAAGGTAAGTGTTTTCCTGAATAATTTCAGTTATTGCATTTAGACTAATTTAGAGGATTGGGTTTAATTGAGTTGCAATACGAGAAATATTACTAAGTAATTAGTGATTTTAATCATCTATTAATACACGTGTGCAAATACGATGTTTTAAATGTACTTTCATTTCAGTTATTTAGTCATTCGTCATACAAAAATTTTCTAATAGTTGAATTTATTTACAGGTCCGGTTGATGTTATTATTAAGGAATTCCTGCGATTACTATGGGTTTCGGAGACAGGAAAGATAGTGATGTTAACCAACTTGGTAGAGATGGGAAACGTATGTACTTACTTGTGTTCATATAGTCTCTAAAATATACGTGACATATTGTTATAAAACATCTCTGTTTCAAGTATTTCGACTATTGTTTTAAGTAGTTTTTTTAAGTTTCAAATGTCTTCCAATAATTAATATATTTGTATTTGAAATCTGGTGCATTTGTTTCAGAAAAAATGCTTCAAGTATTGGCCGAACAGTGGCAAGCAAATGAAGTTTGGTAAAATTTCCATGGCATTGATCAATGAGGATATCTTTTCTCACTTTACTGTTAGGACTTTCAAAATCACAAAAGTAAGTTTAAGCTAGACACTTTATAAAACATTGTTTTTATAATTACTTTGGGAGATGCTAAGATTGAAAAGAAAATTTATTTCGATATATCTTAGTAAACAATATCGATTTTGTTTTGTACCAGGACGAATGTGGGTCTAGAACCATCAAGCAGTATCATTATACATCATGGCCTGATAAAGGTGTCCCTACCGATACTGCGTCATTGGTAGAGTTCAGAAACAAGGTGATAAAGGCCGCATCTCCGCAACCAGGACCAATGGTGGTACACTGCAGGTATGTGTATTTACTATTGATATAGAGATGTTATGATGCTCATATAATATAGTTTGTCATTACACATAACTACTCTCAAGTGTAAAACATGCCGTAAGACAAATTATCTTGTATGTCATTAATGGTATTGGCTAACGATCAACTCTCTTGCATTTTAGCGCTGGTATTGGAAGAACGGGAACTTTCATAGCTTTAGATTATTCAATAGAGGAAGCTAAAGCAGAAGGTTCTGTAGATATTTTTGAATGTGTTAAACAGCTGCGATATGAACGAGTTAACATGGTTCAGACTTGGGTATGTTTGTTATTTTATTATTTGATAAATCCACATCAATTTCCCTTGTGATACCATATACATATTCGTCAAATCTGCCTTACATTTAATTGTTTCAAATATTTTAGGAACAATATGTATTCCTACACGATGCTTTAGCTGAATGGTATGTAGCTGGAGATATTACATTTCCTGTGACGTCATATCAACAAGATTATCAAGCACTGCTAAAAGTTGGTGGCTCTTCTGGTAAATCACAGCTTCAAGAAAGATTTGAGGTAATGTTTATAAACCACGGTAGATTACTTTCTATCTTTGTGATCAAATGGGTTGATGAGCCTATCTTAAAAAGAAAAAGAAAATTGTATACACGTCAATCTATGAATATAATTTATGTGACTTTTTGATGACTTTTTTGTTTACAGATGCTTGATAGTATCTGCCCGTCACCAACTACGGCTGAATTTTCGGTAGCTTTATCAGAAGAAAACAAAGAGAAGAATAGAGATCTATCAGTTTTAGCATGTCAGTTTTCTTTTAATTCAGATACGCCCACATTTCAGCGTGGGCCTATTATACCATCATACCCATCCGTCGATCCGTCAACAATTGCCATGTGAACAGTCAACAGCTGGTTGAGTTTATGAGAGGATGGACCCTATCAATTCACAGCGTTCCGCCCCAGTTGTCGAAAACCTTGCGAACGTGAAGATAAGGACGGACTCCATTTTCAATTGTCTGCAATATTCCGTCCCAGAGCCCCCACCCCCGCTGAAAATATAATTTTGTTAATTCTGTAGAGACTATGTTTTGTAAAGGACCCTTTTCCGATTTTGGTGTGAAGCACTGTGATCATGGCGGGACGAACCTTAGAGATAATTTATCCATTTTAGCATGCTAGTATTGTTATCTACATTTTTTATGTATTATAAACGACGTATTTTCTGTCTATATCAACCACAGTGACCAAATATACGTGTGTTTCTTATCGTAATATTTTTTATCTAATATGTGATACAAGTATATAAATATTTACAAATTATATATTTCAGCGGATAAAATGAGGCTATGTTTATTTAAGCCACAAATGACAGATTATATTAATGCTCTGTTTTTATCGGTAAGCAATAAGTACTTCGAGATATTGCCTACTTGGGTGCATGATTTACTGGAATAAATTAAATTAAAAACTGGGGAAATCTATTTCGATTAGAGTTTGCCTTAAGCCTACATTATGCAAGGGCTAAATCTGCCTATTGCGGGTCTTTCTTTAGGTCTGAAATGTTATCTAAATTATTAATTAGACATTAATTAACTTATCCAGACCGTAATCAACACTCGATGTCATCGCTAGCCTACGATATTTACTGGATTACAATCCGATCTGCTGATCAACGCTCATTCATGATTAAATCAAAAATTGGATAATCGAGGCTATGTTTTTATCGTACCGACTTTAGTAATGATGATCGATGCTAGACCTAAAATTCAATCGCTAAATTCTCGGTTCACAGTGGATTAATTTGACTGAAATTTTCAGCAAATTCCCTTTAAATTATCTAGTTTTTAACTAATAGTGGAAACTGCCAGTTCTTTATCTAATCTACCATTATGTATAAGCCTACGATCTTTTATAAGTAGTGTCCTTTCAATGTATATGGTTTTTCCCGTGTATGCGGTACAACGGTACAAGAATACATTCCATTTATTTCCAGAGCTACAGAAAGAAACGTGCATATATATTGACCCAGGCGCCCTTGCCAAATACTGTGGTAGATTTCTGGACGATGGTTGTAGAACGAGATGTTACAACAATTGTGAACATGGACATTACAGGAACAACAAGTGTAACATTCAATTTATATTTTCTTACAATTTCCAAATTATGTTTCTGCAAAATAACTTTCTAATTTAAAGATCGGTGTAAATTTATAATTTAATTTTCTTTCACTGAATTAATGATATACAGGTAGCATTCTATATAAAGTATACTTTACGCAACCGTTAACAATTTGAATGCAGACGTTTTAAATGGCCAATCCCGATAATTTTTGGGAGAAAAAACTGCTTAATTTAAATTTTGTGTTAAAATTACTTAAAATCCTCTACCAAAGGGCCGAGCAACTAACTCAATATTTGTGATACGTTTTCAAACAACTTAAACCCGTCAGTCTTCATCTGGAATTAAAGTCCGGTGTCCAAAGCTGTATTATGTGGTGTCTGGATAAAACCAAACTCTTTTTTAATAAAAAAATAATGTGTAGTGAAATTAACTTTTCGTTATCAAGTACGGCACATGGGTCATTCACTGTATAGACCTCTCAGGGAACGGGAATCGATTATGAGGTCACCCAACGAAATAAATGACCCGAAATCTTCAAAAGGTTACTAGTCCGGATAAGCAGTTTTGACCTTCACGCCCAAACGACTCAATATTTTGATCTGAAATTTTGAGACAAGGTAAATACACCATTCCTCTATACATGTATTTTGGCGCTTAAAGCGAGAATTTCAAATTTTCTAAGAAAGTCAAAACATAATTATTTCTATGTCTTTTGCTCAATAGGTTATCAAATCACTATTATACGATCATGGGCATTATTTCCCACCCTTAAAAATCTTTGACACAGGAAATAACAACACAATAACCTCCCCTGTTTTGCTATTGACAACATGGGGCAGCCATTTTCCAACGTTGGAATTTGAAGTTAAAAATGATATTTTTGCCAATTTCTCAGCTGGCAATAGCGAATTATAGGATTAATAGGATTATTCTTTAACAAGGTAGGACTGTTTATGGATACCATCTATTTTAAGGCCTTATTTTAATACATTTTAAAAATATAACTTGAAAATTTGCAATTGCAACTTTAACTTTTAAACTTACTCTGACTTTTATTTTTGAGACTCTGTTCAAACCGGGATAGCCCCTTTAACTGGTATTGAATTAGACTAACCTGTTTGTGTTATACATTTAAAGGCATATTGTTCGGACGCGAGGTTTAATTAATGTTAACGCGAAAAAGACCCCCCCCCCTCTCCTCCTGTATAGGCAAAATTTCAGTACAAGTTTCTTAAATAATTTTAAGCGTGAAAAAAACCTTCCCCCACCTTATAGCCAGCATGTCAGTGCAAATATCACATAGTTATTCCTCCAGTTCAATTCCGGTGAGTATTTACAAAGATATGTTGAATTAAAATTCATCGATCTTTGTTGTTTTATATGGTCACTTTTTTGTTGTGGGCTAACATAAATGATAGGCCTATTCTAAATGCGATTGTATCCCAAGACGTTGGTCTTTTGATTTTGCTTTCTTAACTATCAGTTAAATATCCAACCCGAGAACATATTAGCGGGGATTAAGATGTTAAGAAAATGAAATTTTAGAAAAAATGGAAATGGCGCATCGTAAGTATAAAGCTGAAAACATGCTTTTAGAAGCTCTTTTGGCGTTTTTGCTTTAAGGCTGTGGACGACCTTTCAAAGTTTAAATCGATTTGACCTAAGATTAAGGGACTACTGATCTTTAAAATATCAGCGTATTTGTTTTTTATTAGTTCAGCCGTATCATAGAATGATCCAGTGGTATTTCATAAATCTTAATTCGATAATTAAAAAAGTTGCTTTTCATGACATTTTGATCTGTTGGTTCTAAAAATACTTCGGGATAATAATGATACAGCTCAAATATCATCACTTCAGATTCTTATTCAAGTTTTTGTAAAGGTGCCTTTAAAGTACCTAAAACCCCCAGAACCATACCCGATAACACGGAGAGAACAAACCATACAATAACGTAGCAGATAGTGCCACTTCTATTAGAGGCATATTCCCGGAGATAATTTTCTTTACATGTGAAATTTGAGTGTTAGTACAATGTACTTTAGCATGTAATTTCTGTTTTAAATTGGGTCGCGATCATGAATAAGACAGTTCGATTACTTTACAAATTTAAAAGATATACAACTTAATAATCATACAAGAAGTGCACTTAAGAAATGAAGTATGTCTAAAGCACATAAACTCGCTACGTCCAAAATAACCATACGCCTAAACTGAAATTATGTATTGTTGTGATATAAACTTTAACTTTTAACTGAAGTAAACAAACATTAATATTATAATAAACTGATATTCGCACATATATAACTGACCCTGATTGATTGTAAACTGTCTGTTGAACTACTTTCCTTCATTGGTAATTGATATAAATATTTGAATTATATAGGATATTGGACAATATGTACCAACAACTGGTGATCTGATCTGTGGACCATTTAATATAAGCAAAATAGACGAAACAAAACATGAAAATGGTATTTATACAGTTGTTACCTGTTTAATTAACAGTGAACTTGATGTAAGTATATTAGTTATTTAATGTCCGAAGGCATAATTATAATGCTTCACACTTGTCAAGTATTGCTGATAAAGGAGAACTGGGAACTTTCAGATAGTATATTCACGCCTGGAACTCTGAAAACTTACGAACTACGTCATTTTCGTTGTGTTTCGGCTTCCGAAATAGAGTATGCCAACAAGATCAACACTCTTGGTAGCAATCGAAATCCGGGCGAACAAAATGCAAAAAGAAATGAAAAAATAGTCAATTAAGGTATGCTAACAAGATCAAAACTTCTGACAACATGTGTCTTTTCGTTGGAAATCAGAGGTCATGGGGAACAAACAAAATGCAAAAAAAGTAAAAAAATAATCGAATCTAGAATTACGTCCATAAATGAATGTTTATCTGCTAAATACAATTTATTTTTGATAAAGGAAAGTTTACAAAGACGTATCAGAATATATCAATGTAATTTCTGGAATCCAAAGACAGGGGTGCCACAATCTGCTGGTCCAATCTTTACTATCTTAGAAGATATAAAATCATGTTCTGAACAAGACGAAGATGGACCCATCATTGTTCACTGTCTGTAAGTTGATTTGATTTTAGAAATTAGAAAGTAAATATAATTAATAACCATCGGTTTCTTGTACTCAGAAATCTTTCTTTGAAACATATGGATTTAGTTAGATTTGGACAACTAATTTAATGGAGCTAACTCGCTAATAGTTGGGACCTAGAATTTGACACAAATGGGTCGCAACGCATATAATAATGTAATATAAATGTATATTATAAACTTATTCACATTCAATTGTTTCCGTTTTTCCTTTAATTTCAAATCATGATCAGTTATGTTCGGCAAAATACGTCAGAAGTCTCAATCGAATGGAAATCTCCAGCGTCTGGTTATTCCAGTCTACACCGATAGTATTTAATGCGCATGTTCTCCAGATAAGAATTAGTCACTTTTTGACATAACCCGTGAAATATGTCTAGCATCGTTCTTCTAGTCCCTTGTTACAAATGGCTCTGAAACGCATTATGGTACACGATTCGTGTACCAATGGTAAAATTTTTATTTTATCAGAAGCCCATCACAACATCATTGTTGATTTAAACTGACAAATAATTCGTGTTTTCAATGTCGAAGACTTTGGACGATATTGAGTTAGAGACTTAGTTACTTTAAAACAATGTTCTCTAGAATATGTATGTGGACAGATAGGACCCTGTCTTGTACAGTGAGACTTGTTTTCAGATTTTTAACTATTATTCTAGCAATGGTGTAGAGAAATCGGGTATATTCTGTGTTCTAGCTGCTATATTAGAAAGATTAACCATAGAACAAGATGTCAGTATTTTACAGACTTTAGTTCAATTACGAGTTTCTAGACCTCAGATTATAACGTCTTTTGTAAGTATAAATATAAGCCAGTAAAAACCGTAATATACTTATCATGATTATTTCAGTAGTCTACTCATATAAATAAAGTGTCGTCGTCATCCATCAATATCATGAATCTAAAAGGACTCCGTGGGTAGTAAATTACTATGGAGTCTGTTAGTAATGTGAGTATTAGACTGATATATATTAATCTTTCGAATTTCAGGAGCAGTTAAGATTTTGTTTCGATGCTGTTGGTGAATATCTGGACGAGTTCTCTGTCTATGCAAATTCTTGCTAAATTAAGATATCTCAGATGTAAATATTGATCTTAAAGATGTATTCATTTTATGTCAACTATATATACATAATACATGACAAATGATATTCATTAGTAAATCCAAAATATGGTCGAGGAACTACTTAAAATCGAAACATACCGACATAACGAGTAGTATATCAGATAATCCACTATAATGCCCTTGAAGTCACTGGCTTCTGCAAAATATTGATCATTTTTAAAATCATTTAAAAAAATTGCCGTTTTTAAATTTGTTGCCACTGGCTTCCTTCTCTCAGTAGTATGAAACATTGTTACAACCACGGTGCATGATCACTTTTTGCCCAGTTCCCCCACCTTGCTTTATTCTGTTTCAACATCAACGAAAGTAATTTTGTAAAATGTACCCCGTGTGTCAGATTTTTTGTTGAAAGGATGGGTTTCCTATATAGCTTTATCATAAGAAATGTCAAACTTTCTTAAGATAAATTTGTGAGTATGTATCAGACGGCCCAATTCCTCTCGTGGGAATATCTCCTTAAATGTTAGTTTATTCCATCATATTCTAGTTAACTTTATGTTGTATACGCCCACTTACAAAGTATAAATATATATAACTAACGAAACAATAATATCAAAATATAGGATTTAGAAACACTTACATGTGCTTATATACTGTGGTTAGAGTAATATACTCGCGTTCGCAAGTATTTTTTTTATTATTATTATTACTTATATATATATATAACCCCCTCAACAGTAAATATTAAATTTCAGAATACCTGTGTAAAATAGAACTAAATATATATAAAATACTAAAGAATATCTATTACATTAAAAATATATCCACATGGGTGTCAATATGTTCATTCGTAATGTCTTCTTACTAAAAATTCAAAATGTTTTAATAATGTCAAATACTCGTACAGTCGAAATTGTAGAAGGATAATTATTTGTTTTGAGAAAAAATAAATGTAAACATAAGAATAAGGAAATATGCAAAATTAATGTTTATCTTGTATTCAATGATCAATAAATGCAACCTAATAACGCTCATTTAAACTTATGAAAGATAGTGTGAACGTCAAATTACAGCAAAAATTGATGTTTATCTTTATTTTTATAAATAAATAAAGATTTGAAATACAGAAAGGTTTAGTCCTATTATATTTATAGTATATATTGTTCAAAAATTAAAATGAAATATTTTGGAACTCATCTTTATGCCCGCCGAATGGAGAGCTTCATTCTATATGGGGTTCACAAGTCTAAAAAGTTAATATGACAATAAGGTCTTAACATCCATCAATCCCACCTATCCACAACGGGATGTTAATGTTCTAAAGTCAAGTTATACTACACGCCATCCTGTCCAAAACCAAGGCCATTCAATACTTTTATTATAGCACTGGTACAAGGCCCCCCACAAGCCTATGTGGCGCCCCAGGACGAAAGTTTCATTGACGCCCCCACTCTCTCTTTGATCTAAAAAACCTTTATGTTGGAAAAATCATAATTCTGCCCTCTCTATTCAATATGAACTGCTGCAGGTTGGGGGGAGGGGGGCAAGGTGGCTAATTGGGTAAGAAGCTGGCTCGCTAGCCGGCTCATCCAGATTTTCCGTCATATGCCCGTCTTCATTAGCTCAGTTCGGTGCAGAACAGTAGGACGTTAAACCCCAATTTTATTTCGTTTATACGGGTTTAGGGGACGCGAAGGCCGGGGATTTGCTATGAATATTTCTGGTTTAAACTTAGATAAATTGCCAACCCCGAGCATGCCCCCCTCAGATCCTCTACCTTATGTGAGGGCCTTGCCTGGGAATAATGTATGTAAAATCGAACCTGTGTGATATATACATTCAGATTATAGCTTTATTCGGACCTGGTTATATCGACTGCAGTATCGATAGACTAAAATTCCCAGACAACCTATGAAGAAATGTATGTTTCAGAACGAAATGGAATCAAATGGACACTTTAATACTCTCCGATCATAACGTTCTACAGTCAGGGAATATGTGCTGAACATTTGAGCAAACAAGCCAACAGTAACGCTGATGCCCCCAATAAATAGATGACACATATTAATTGCACTTTATCTTTTTTTTGTAAAATATCGAACAATCAAACTGCTTATCTATATTTAGCACCTTCATCACTCTCCCTCAATTATATCAACAAAAAACTATAATAAGAATTTCCTGTCCAGGTTTAAGTGGAGTGATACGCAATTTATTTTTTCCAAGCTTTGGAGCGCGAACAATTGATTCTAATTGAGTTAATTTCAGTGTATTATCAACAAGGAACACTTCCAGGTAGAAAAGCTATAAATTAGAGTATGCTTAGAATGTTATAAAACTTTACAAGGAAACGGCGATGAGTTATACAAGGTTTCCCCAATCTCACATAATGAAGACTTCTATTTATTTTCAGCAATTTCCGTTTCTTGCTTCTAGAGATATGGTCCATGTTTCACTTCGTAGAAGCCAATGTCGGAAGTTATCATCAGATCTGTATGAAATTTATATGCATTATTTAAATTAGTGAAACGAAGAATACTATTGAATTTCAGCAACTTCCGTTATTTAATGCTAGTTAATAGTTTCCTCCTTTCCCCGAAGGACGCGGACAATTATGATACTTCAACTCTTCAGCCCCAGAATGAAAGAGATGGTATTGAGTGGACGTAATGTTCCGCTTTTATCTTATTTTTTCACTATAATAAGAATGGATATTATCTGAATTTCGTTGTACTTTTAAAACACAACTTCCTTCTTGCAAAGTGATTAATGATTTGTTTTTTTCGGCGTGTTTCATGCTCTGTTTGACAAGGGGTCATATTATATATTCTTTTGTCGAATGGTATACTATGAGGGAAACTTTGCCTGGATAGCGGTGCTACGCCCTACTCTTATATTAAATTCCAACTGGCAGGGGGTCTTTTACGTGTATGCCAATATGTAAACGGGCCTCGGTTTTTCGTCCCATCCGAACGACTATACGTTATCCCTTGCCAGGCCACCCATCAAAGAGGAATCACTCCGGAAAAGGGGTTTAATGTCCTACTTTGCTGGTAGTCACGGTGACTCAGTGAATAAGACGTTGGCTAGCTAACGTTGAGGTCTCGTGTTCGATGACTGCGTTGGCCGAGAAAGCTCATCGGGAATTTTCCGGCGTGATTCCACTTTACAGTGGTACATGACAGAGGGTCTGGCAGGGTATAACGTACATTTGAGCGAGCACGTAAAAGACCCCCTGACAGTTGGAATTCAATATAAGAGTAGGCCGTAGCGGCGCTATCCGAGCAAAGTTTTCCTCGCAGTATACTGTATAAGCGTATGCCCGTCTTCATTAGCCCAATCAGAGCAGAACAGTAGAACGTTAAACACAATTTCATTTCATTCAATTTTCCTATTTTTCTGCACCAATTGGGCTATTGAAAATAGGCAAACGCTATGCAGAGTGCTATGACGGAAATTGTCAATGAACCGTGGCATTTCCTCATCGAAATTCAACTGTGAAGGATTCTTTTATGTGCACGCCAATGTGTAAACAGGAGCTTGGCTAATCCCTAACGCCATCCAGAACGCGTATCAAACTATGAATCTGACAGGGTCTCCTTAAAACCTGATATGGTCCTCTACATTTTAACTCTTTTTTTGCCGAACGTGAATAGTAAAGTCCAAAAATAGAACCCTATTTCAAATACCCGCGCTCTAGTCGTCTTAAATAAATAAATCTGGGTTATTAGAAAACAAATACACACCTATCATCCCACATAGTCGCATACTAATTTCCCTATCTCATTCTTTTGAACCCTGGGAAAGCCATTTGAAATATTGTTAATAAAGGGTTTAAGATTCTGTGAGAGTATGTCTTGATCATGAATTAGAGGAATTACCTGCTAAAATGACGTCAATATCGATATATTCCTTTGACAAGGCTCAGCAAAAATCGAAATCGATAGTTTGATACAAGAATCGCTTATACTCACCGTGCAATTTTTACCCACGTAAGTAATTAATCTCCTCGAGGGATCAAACACCATGTATAAATTAGTATGGTATTGTTGACATGTTTCGATGTTAAAACAAATATTATTGCCCAATAATTAGAGGATTAACATTAAAGTCAATGTGGAAGGAATTACTAGACCTAGTCGATAAGTCCCATACCTGTTGTCTCCCTTTAATCGGCACATACAGCCGGTATCTCTTAACAAATTTGTATACACTAAAAAACATTACATAATATCTAACATATATACCATAAAGCTATACAGTGAGTGGGATTGTCGTGTCAGTAATGGTTCAAGGTGTGGTCTCATGTACACGTAGAAAAAGGCCTTAGCTGTTGGAATTTCACTTTGAGCCGACAAAAGGCCTTCGTCGCCTCGCTCCATTTGCCCATTCCGTGCGGAAAGGACATTAAACCACATTTCATTTTAAAGACTTCTGCGGAGAAGTGAATTATTGAAATAAAGATATCCTATAGTCGCTAAATGATCCATTTACCTCTCAGAGAATCAGATTTATTAACAATTTTCAATAATAATTAAGGGTGCTGCTATAGCAATCTTTCGAACTAAGAATTTTAATGGTGCTATATTTATTTTGTGTAGAATTTAATGCTGACATTGATATTTAATGATCCTTGGGTTATTATAGATATTAGAAAAATTGGAGACAATAAAAATAATAATAAGGATTCTTATATCTTATATCCATAATAAAATGTCTGTTCAAAACGCTTACAAAATATTTTTATCTGTAAGAAATTTCGAACAGTTCAGTCTTTATACGTGATTTAGTGATGGGGCAAATTTGAGTAAAACATGCAGTGAATTCCAAAAGATTTCAATGGCTATGCAGGCACAACTACGTGAAGTTGAGACTAAGATATCTTGGTGGTTGGTGAAGTCTGATAAGATCATTCAACTATGCTGGACCAATCCTATTTAAACAGGTCGGGGGAGGGCGGGGTGGGGACAAATGGTTAACGCATGCACGCCCCATCTTAAATCTGTCAATGAATGAAATCGCGTAGTTTCGATTCCCGCTTGTACGTGACAAGGACTAAGGTCGCTTGTCTAACCTCGTGGGTTTTCTCCGAGTCCACCAGCCCCCCCCCCACACACACACACTACTAAAGACCCCTACGCGCAAGCGAATAATTGAAATAAAATTGAACCATATGTTAGTCCCGAAATGACATAGTTTCTATCGAGTGGACGTTAAACACTATTTCTCTCTATCCATTTAAACAGCGATGCGCAACACGCAACAAGTCAATTCTTTCAGTAATACGGAGTCAGTGAAGTGATTTTAATACAGGGGTTTTACTGGATCTGAGAGGTTTTTTTTGTGACTAGACAAGCCACTGAATTTTGAATGTTTCGTATAACCTCTACGGACTTATTTTTCACGTGTGCAATGCCAGGTAACAGTCAGTAATTAATAATTCTGATCTGGATGTCCACGTAGTTACTTTAATACATTTTTCTACATGTAATTTTTAACAATTTTATGGACATAGTATAAGATCAGTGAATCACTTTCAAACTCCACGGTCGATTAAATGTGACACTATGGGGACAGATGTGACTATTCTGGTCACGGACTCCAAATAAAAGATCGGCTGTGAAACTGTAGGTACATGTACGTTTAAAAATGGGTGTAATTAAAAACAAAAAGTAGTGTTAATTAAGTGTAAACTTTGCACCACAGCTCGCGTTTCTTAAATGTAATACCTTTCCAAAAGTAACCAACTAAATGAACTGCAGTATTACAACACGCCACTTCACAATGCGTTAAATAAGCAGTGTTGCTTAATTAACCCCTATTATGACACATGCAATAAATACAATACAATACTCTCAGAATGACATTTCAAATTTGACATTCCATGTCGCTAACAATCTTTAAATAATCACTTATAATAGTTATATAATAATCTTCTAGTGTGTCCTTTAAATATCTCACGTCTTACCTCTAAAATATCATTACACTGATAAACAAGCTACAATAATATAAGTTCGATGATTCACTGTCAATATAAATA